TTGCGGAATTGTTTTAATCACGAAATGCTAATTTATTTACCGAAAGCATCGCTAGTGACACTTCGATAAACGTCGCCGTTAACTTGGTCAGTTTGGAGGCGACAACCGTCAAGTCATAATTGTTTACCGAAAGTGTCGTTAGAAGACTTTCGGTAACGCATCGCTCGAGTGCGCCGATATTAGACACTCGGTAAAATAACTTCACCGAGTCGTTGTTTGCCGAGTCCACTTTACCGAGTGTGGCACTCGGTAAAGAGTTTGCCGAGTGTGTAGCACTATTTGCCGAGTGTTACTCACACTCGGTAAATACACAGTATCCCGTAGTGAATAATGCTACATATGCATGCATCAGTGACAATAGTTTCTGCATAGATGTCATGCAAGAGAAAACACGTGATGGGTACCGCTCCAAGTGGTCTGATGGCTTTCAAGGAAATCCATACCTCAAAAATAGTTGTACAGGTTATACTTCTCCCTTAAACTTGGTTTCACTAAGTTCCTTATCTTACTATTACTAATTAGAGGCCCGACGGAGGCACCACATTAATTTTCACCAGATGTGCTACTATTACTAATTAAAGGCCCTGACGGAGACACCATGTTAATTCTCACCAGATGTGCTAGAAAAAAGATAAATTCTAGAAAATCTCACAATAATCAGAAATATTTAGTCTTTAATTTGGTAGACTCTGATCATCATCACCGGTAACAACCATTAGATTTATTGTAATTTATATAAAAAAATTTACTCACCTCTACCATTATGAAAAATACATAAAGTAAACCCCAATTTTGTATCTAAATTGCCCACCCGTGCCATTATAAACGATAATTAAAAATAATCCCTATATTGTATATAAATAAATTACCCACATCTTCAACATTGGTTGCCCGGTCATGTATTTGTACCATCGCTAGACAAAGGGCCTGCTAAAGATGATCCACCGAGACACGAGTAACCATAGGTAGGTTTCTGAATGAAGATACAGCTTTTGTTTCGTCAAGGATGCATGGTTCCTTGGTAGTATTTGTCTTGGGAAGATAGCTTGGATGACATGAAACGGTTCCATGATAAGAGGTCGTAATAAGCAGCCAATCACATTTCCCTTTGGATTTTCTAATGCCGACAAATAGGCCAACGATGCTGATAAGTAGCCATATCCGTAATATTGCATCTAAATTACCCACGTTTATTGTTATAAAATAAAATTCAAAATAATCTTTTAATATTGCATCTAAATTACCCAGATTTATTACTATAATAAAGATAATTTAAAAAAATGCTCTAACTTTATATTTAAATAGTAAATACACACATGTCATAAAAGATAATTTAAAATACGTCTAAAATGATTTCCCACCTTTGTCATTTTGAAAGATAATGCAAAGTAACCTTTTAAATTTGCATTCAACCTACCCATATAGGTCGTTGTGATATGATAGATAATATAAAATATTACCTTTATAATATATTAGTATCTACCTCAGCCACATAAAAACTAAACAAAAATATCTCCTAAATCTACATGTAAATACTAATATATATTATTATGCTATTTTCCACCATGTATATCAAATAAACATGTAAGGATTAGGATAAATATTTATTTTAATAACTTATGAAGCATGGAAAAATATTCACTTAACAAATCACATAGAAAAAACATTGGCAATTCACTTTAATTTATATTAATATTACACGATAATAAATTTCATAAGTTATTATTTTAAATAAGTTTACATTTTGACTGAAACATTATGTCATACCAATACTAATAATTTAATTTTGAGTAATCTATGATATATAAAATAATACAACACATATAATTATGTGGTATAACAAATTCAACATATCAGTGCTGGGGTGCATGTTGAGTTTTAACATAACATGTGGAAAACAATACTACTAGGACTTCGGTTCTTTTTAATAAAAAAATAATTTTTGCATAAAAGATAAAGAACACTAAGATTTCTACTTATCATGTGAAAATGCAACAACTCGATTAAAAGTTAAAAGCTAAACGATAGATTTGTGAAGTCACAGAAGCGATGCAACAAGAGTTTATATATCTTAAAATTAATTTTCAACTAAATACACATCACTCTAGAAAAAATATAAAAACTATAAAATCTAACTAGAGATCCGTAATGGAGCCTGCTTGTTAATCGTGACAAGACCCGATAGAAAAATAAAAGATAGATCCTAGAAATCTCTCAAAAATTAGAAACATCTTACCATAAATTTGCTATAACCTAATTAATCACCATTGATGATAATAGATATTGGATCTATTCTATTTTCTAAATAATAATCCACCTCTGGTATTGTGTAAAACATATAATGTAACACATGACTTTCTATTTATATTACCCACCAATGCCATTAAAAAACATGATCTAACATAGACCAAACTTTCATCTAACTACCCACGTCCTCATATTATAATCAATAATTTACGTTACTCATTATTAGAAAAAATAAATACACCCTCAAATCTACGTCTAAATTATCAACATATTCTATTATAAAATAATTGTTTAGATAACCATAAAACATATATATGTGTCATGGGTTCATAACCACAGCAAGGATCATGTTGTTTGTTGGATGTCGGAAGTGTGGGTCCCCGGTGGCTCGGGTACTAAAAAACTCAAGAGAGACACGGCGATTTATCCTGTTTCGGGCTATCGAGGCCCTATGTCCAGCAGTAAGGTGTTCTTTGGTGCTATCCTACGGCTCGTCGGCGGTGAGGTTTCGTCCCAGCGAGTATGGGAATCGGCCCTCACTCTTGCTAGGTTGCCGACGGTGGAACGCTCTCTCGGGCGGTGGTTATCTTGTCCAATCTATCGAATGGGTTTCTAGGATTCACCCCCTCTCTGAGAGCCGACCCTCCCCTTATATACTGAGGAAGTTTAGGTATAAGTTAGTTTGGGGGGTTTTGGTCTATGGTCGTCGTGCACCAGGAGTAGGAGGGTGCTGCCGCGGCGTGGATGGACCTCGGTCTTATCGTGGAGCTGGAGGAGCAGCTGGCGCCGCCTGATGTGAGGATTAACATAATAATTCAAAGAAAAAAGATACTCCAGTAGTATTAAGAATATCTTAACTTTAGAATGCAACAAAAACACTACATCATGCATCTTACTCGGTGCAAATTACAACTCTATACTACTATATCTCTCTGAAAGGTCATTCTACTACTTGCACCACCAGTGGTTCTACATGATCACACATCACATTACTTTTTCTAAGAAATATCAGTAAACATGTGCATGATTTTACTTGCACTACCAACATGCAACCTTCTTACTGATACAGATATTGATGAGTGCTCTATTCCAAATAAATGCAATGGGATATGCCACAATTTTGATGGAGGCTTCAATTGTACAAGGTGCTCTCACGGAAAAGAATATGATACGAACAAACATAAATGTGTCATGCCAGCTAAGCAGCGTAATCTAATTCTCGGTGAGTCATGCATTTGCCCATCAAAATTAAAAATTTTCCACAAGTTTTACATGTTTTTTACATCTAATCCTTAAGTATAAATCTAACTTGTGGTCATTGACAAACAAAATCTCTTTATCCTCGTATATGTCTGTTTACTCCAAACTCATGAATATACCTTACCATTACTATTTTCAGGTTTAAACATCGGAGTAGGAGTTGGAGGTGGCACAACTCTTTTGCTTCTAGCACTTAGTGGACCCTTCGTAATGCATAAAATTAGACAACTAAAAATGAAAAAGATGTTTTTTAAACAAAATCATGGGTTACTATTGCAACAATTGATATCACAAAATGCAAACATTAGTGAAAAGATGATTATTACCTTAAGAGAGCTAGAGCTAGCTACAAATAATTTTAATAGAGATTGTGTGGTTGGTGGTGGAGGTCATGGCATTGTATTCAAAGGGAATCTGGATCTACGTGTAGTGGCAATCAAGAAATCGAAGATTGTAGTACAAAGAGAAATTGATGAATTCATAAATGAAGTTGTAATTCTTTCTCAAGTGAACCATAAAAACGTGGTCAAGTTTTTAGGATGTTGCCTTGAGACAGAGGTTCCACTACTAGTTTATGAGTTCATTTCAAATGGAACCCGCGCTTCACTAGAAACCGAACAGCCGCAGCAGCCGCTTTTGACCACTGAAATATGGGCATTGACAAATCCAATGCAACCGAGGGGCAAATAAAAATAAAAATAAAAATTCAGCTTGCCTGGAATCAGGCTTGCTCCAAATCAATCAACTAATAACACGATTAGGTTAGCGCAGTGAGATTGTCTTTATTGCTGACTGTTATCGTTGCAAAACAGCGGCTTCAGTGTAGCACGGCCGGAGTGCTATACGCTGAGGGTTCTGAGTAGAGGAGCAGTGGACAACACAAAAGCCTCTGAGGCTTCAATTGAGGTGTGAATGAGACCGGACCAGAGGGTCCGAGACTAACCGTAGAAATTATGGAGAAAAACTCGGAGAACTGCTGTTGATTGGCAGACGCAGACCTTACAGCGGATTTTCAACGTAATACTCCGTATCTAACACGAGCAAGCTGGTGGCAGCGTACGCCAGTCTTCAGAGTCAGACTGCTTGCCGCTGCATATATGCGGCCGCTCGCTGGCACTTTCTAGGCCCGGCATGTGAGACAGGTACGTCTTTGTTTTTTCTTTCTGGAAATGAACAGACGACTGACCGAGGAACGAATGATGTGTGCCTGAAACGAAGATAGGAGGAAACCAGAGAGGCAGAGAGCATCTCTAGATGGTTATCCTACGCCACAAATCGCATCAAGTCTACTGCTCCAATTCTGTTCTTTCAGGGGCAAAAAAAAAAGAGAACTGTTCAAAGTCAGTTTCTACCGTGGACGACTAAGGCTCTGTTCCCCTGCCATTATAGGCCGCAGGGGGGCGGGAGCAGAAAAAGATAAGGCTAGCCTCCCCGCGTTATATTTGGACACGCGCGAACAAATTAAGCACCCAGTGCAATAGATGGAGTCTCCAATGGAGAATCCAGTTGGTAGAAAAGTTGTAGCGTCGCTAGCTGCAGTAGTTGCGACGCTACTGATGATGATGCTCCCGTCACTCGGTGGCGCGGCGGCACCAGCTGTGGCAGCCACCGGCACCGGGGAAGGGGCGCCTGGGAGGAGCAACGACTGCACCAGGAGCTGCGGCAACATCAGCATCCCATACCCGTTCGGCATCGAGCCCGGCTGCTACCACACCTCCTGGTTCAACCTCACCTGCAACCACTCCTACCAGCCGGCGAAGCTGTTCCTCGGCGACGGCACCGTGCAGGTGCTGGAGATCTCCGTCCCCAACGGCACGGTACGCATCAACAGCACCCGCTTGCTGTACACGGTCGACGTGGGGGTGAGCACCGCGAGCGGGACGTGGGGCAAGGGCCTCCCACGCGGCGGGCCATTCTTCCTGTCGGAGTCGAGGAGTAGCGTGGCGTTGGTCGGCTGCGGTGCGCAGGTGGAGATCCGAGGGGGAGACGACAACAGCCTGGTCGCGTCTTGCGCCGCTGTCTGCCCGCTCGACGGCGGCGGGAGGATAGTGGTCGACACCAGCAGTGCCTGCGCAGGCGTCGGCTGCTGCCAGGCCAACATCGTCCTGGGCTACGATTTCTACAGCATCCAGATCCACAAGCTCAACGGGTCGGTCTATGCTCTTCCAGCCTCTGTGTACTTCGTTGACCAGGGTTTCAGACATACCGAGGACATGAGTGCAGTTTACGGCCACTTCCCTGAGTCGCTCCCGGCCACGCTAGGGTGGGTGACCAGTAACTACACGTGCGCCTCTCCGTATAGAAACCTTAACCCTTACGACAGCCCCAGCTCTAGCGAATGCTTCGTCGGCAACTACAGTGTTTGCGTAGAAGGACCTTACAATGTTGCTGATCGTGGGAGTCGGTGCGGCTGCGAGGTTGGTTATCAAGGCAACCCTTACTTCCCAGATGGATGCCAAGGTATATCATCTACTCTCTCTCTCTCTCTCTCTCTCTCTCTCTCTCTCCACAGTTGTAAGCCGTTCTAATTTTTCTAGCTATATTATTTTTTTATACACTTATATATAGATTATGTCTAAATACATAATGAAAACTATATATCTAGAAAAAACAAAAAAAACATTATTTAAAATGGAGGGACTACTTTACTATCTATTTATTCATTATTCATGCGTCTGCACAGGCTGTTCGATCTGTACTTATTAATCAGTGACTTTAATTTTGTTCTATCTTAGATATCGACGAATGTACTTCTCCGGACATCTACCCATGTTATGGCGACTGCAAGAATATCCCAGGGGATTTTATTTGCCTCTGCCCTCATGGCTATTATGGAAATGCTTCTGTTCCAAATGGATGCCAAGGTACTATAGCTACCCAAAAAAATACAAACTAACTAGACTGATGGTCTAACATTGCTTACACCGTCCCAAAATAAATAAGTCAAACCATTTAAATTTTATTGGACGTAAGATATATAAAATTCACCAATATTCATATCACACCATATTAATACCGTTAGATTAGATATACTCTGAACTATACTAATCCATATTGTACTTTTTATATTATTGGTATTGTAGAGGGTTAGTGTGCTCTCTTATCTATAAAGTTGGTCAAACTTATGATATATATTGACTTACGACAACTATAGAAGATGATTTGTTTTGGATGGAGAAAGTATTATGCCACTGCTAGTACATAGATTATTGCTTGGTTATATAATATATATAGCTCCCCAACTAACATGTTCTATGTTTCGCATCAATAATTGTTGCTTGTACATTATTTTCTGTTCTAGACATAAATGAGTGTCAGGACCCGGAAGCCCACTCCTGCTACGGCATCTGCTTGAACTTACCAGGAACTTTCCAGTGCCAATGTCCTAGTGGAACCTATGGAAATTCTTCCCAAAAATGGGGATGTGTTACAATCAAGAACACAATCGCAGGTGACAACAAGCGACTGCGTGTGAACCTATTACTAATTTCTTCCCACACTATACTTGATATGTTCACATGCACCAAATATATGAATCTGACGCAACATTATATATTTTTTATTTTTTAGCATCTGGTTTAAGCATCGGGCTAGGAGTATCTGGTGGCACAATTCTTTTGCTTCTAGCATTTGGTAGTCCTTTCATAATTCGAAAAGTCAAGGAGAGAAAACATAAGAACATGAAAGAGAAATATTTCAAGCAGAATCATGGTTTACTATTGCAGCAATTGATATCGCATAATGCAGACATTGGTGAAAGGATGATAGTTACATTAAGAGAGCTAGAGAAGGCTACAGACAATTTTGATAGATCTCGCATAGTTGGTGGTGGAGGGCATGGTGTTGTGTTCAAAGGAATTCTAAATTTGTATGTCGTGGCAGTGAAGAGATCAAAGATTGTAGTGCAAAGAGAAATCAACGAATTCATAAATGAAGTTGCAGTTCTTTCTCAAGTGAACCATAGAAATGTAGTGAAGCTCTTAGGATGTTGTCTTGAGACGGAGGTTCCACTTCTTGTTTATGAGTTCATTTCAAATGGAACACTATATCATCATCTTCATGTTGAAGGACCAGTATCACTAAGATGGAATGATCGGGCAAGGATTGCGCTAGAAGTTGCTAAAGCATTGTCCTATTTACATTCAGCTACCTCAAAGCCAATATTTCATAGAGATATTAAGTCCTCCAATATACTTCTTGATGAGACTTTAACTTCAAAGGTATCAGACTTTGGAGCTTCAAGATACATCCCAATTGATCAAACAGGGGTAACCACAGCGATTCAAGGTACAATGGGTTATTTAGATCCGATGTACTATTACACAGGCAGACTAACAGACAAGAGTGATGTCTTTAGCTATGGTGTGCTTCTCATAGAATTGCTTACTAGAAAGAAACCGTTTGCCTACCGATCTGATGGTGGTGATGGTATTGTTTCATATTTCGTCTCACTACTCACAAAAGGCAAACTGTTGGACATAATAGATCCTCAGGTCATTGAGGAAGAAGATGGAGAAATCCAAGAAGTAGCTGCACTAGCGGCAATGTGTACTAAGCTGAAGGGAGAAGATCGGCCGACAATGAGAGAAGTAGAGATGACACTTGAGAATCTACTAGTTAAGAAGAAACATGTTCCCTGCGATACAACATTAAGAATACATGGTGATAAGGAAACTATGGCTCATTGGATGTCAAATGAACAAGTTTCTACTGAAACTAGCAGACAATACACTATAGAAGAGGAAACGCTATTGTCTGCGAGGTAGCTGATCGAGCTGATCCTATGCTTTCCTGGAAAATGCTGCTTCATATATTGATTTCGCCTAGGAAGCCAACACAAAAATATCTCTTTCTTTGTTATCTTCTAAATTATTCTGCTAGTGATTTGGCTATTTTCTTCCACTGTATATTTCACGCGCATTGCCCCCTAAATAATACTATAAAGCCAACAGTTCTTGTGCTTAGTGTTTGTCAATTGAAGGTGAAAACGTCTTGCCAACTTGAATTGTTATTCCAATCTGTTGTAAGGACAGGGGGGGGTCAAAGTAGAGCATTTGGTAGGCCTATGCAGTATCGGCGACTAAAACGCGGGTCCTAGCGGTCAGCCAAAGGGAGAGAGGAGGGGAGCGCGCCTACGCTTGCTGGGCTGGCCTGCTAAACGGGCCGCGCGGTGAAGAAACCGGCCAACGGGAACAAGGCGCTGGGCTTGCGGGTGAAGCGGGGAAGGGAGCAGGTGGGCCGCGGGGAGAGAGGGAGAGAGAGGTAAAAATTCCTTTTCTTTTTCTTAAACATATTTTCAAAACAAAATCCAAATCAGATTCAAATTCTTTTGCAGTTTTGATCAAACCCAATCATCACAAAAATAAATATTCGGCAGCATGTATACACAAATATATAGCTCGACCTTATAGTTGATTTTAATTTAACAAAAGTTATTATTTCTCTAAGTTTGTATGCACACATAAATACATAAATAAATCAACTTATCCTATTTTAAAATGATGCAAATTTTAGGGTGTTACAATTAAATAAAAGAGAAGTTATAAGGGTGCAGGTAACGCTTTCCTGCCCAGTACGTGCTGAGTCATGAAATTCAAATCCAACTGGCAGGATTGCTATACGTGTGACAACGTTGTAACAGCTTTCCAAGTACATATCTTTTATTATTCTTAAGATGGCTTGAAGTTGAAGCACACATTTCAGTTGCTCGCATCACACATAGCAACATCGTGAGAAGACTTCACAAATCAACACCCCAATTAAAGTTGTGTGACGGGAGATGGGTTAGAAACAGACTGAAAAAAATAGTGAGGTTTTCCATGACTGCTACGGTGCCTTTCTCATGACAATTTTTTTCTTGTCACCACTAATGTGAGGATTGAGACATGCGTAGACTCAACCTTGTTGTATCAGCTTTCCGAGTATATATTTCTTTTCCTTTTAGATTTAAAAGGACTCCTAGCACATTATGCTGATTTGTTGTGAGGGGAAAATACCATTCGTTCGCTGAAAAGTACTGCTGAAGTAGTGCTGAAGAACAGGACTGACCTTTTCCATAAAGTAGGATATTTTTTTGAACAAAATGGCATGCACTCTGTCTTTTCTTTACTTTTTTTAATGGCGCGCTGTACCTTTTTTAAAAGGAACGGGAGGGGCAAAGACCCAACTGAAATGCATTATAAAGAAAAAATAAAAAAGAAGCAGAAACAAAAGTAGGAGAGGAAGACCAGGAGTTCAAGATACAAAAAATGAAAGAAAAATTATAAAGATTACAAAAAACCTTTCTAAAAAAACTCAAGCCACGGGGAATGACGTCCCCACCCGCATTTCATTAAGAAGATCTTCTCACGTGGATCAAAAAAATCCTCAAACCTCAGCCCCACCCATACAGTGGCACCGCATTCCCGTGAGACGGGACGATCACAGACCTGTATTTTGACGTGGGACGGATAAGGGGATTTTTTTACCCTCAAGCCTGAAATTCTCCCTAGAGGGGAATCGAACTCAGGACGGGTGCCGCAGGAAGCGCTCAATCAACCGGTCTAGCATCCATCCATGAACCTAAAGGTAGACTCCGAGTTTGACACTGTGTAGCAACAGGGGAAATTCCTTAATAAAATTTAACTGGCACTTTGCGATTCCTTTCCGCCCAAATGCACCAGCATAAAAGAATGAAGAAGTCCATGAAGAATGGGATGTTGAACTGGACTTTGAACAATTCCGGAGCTTAAAATCTTGAGCACAAACTTGTGGGAAGTGAAAATTGGTAATGCTCAACTAGGAGCTTCTAGCAAAGGAGCGTGCATGTAGAGGTGCTCTAGAATTTCTTCAGAGCAAATTGTGCATAGGGCACAGTCGAAGTTGTCCAAGTACATATTTTCTACAGTGTGCTCTACCTTTTCGTTAGAGTAGAAAAAAGTACCAAGGTCACATACTCCCTTCAACCCGACCCTCTCTGATTAAACAAAAAACACAGAACATCTTAAAAATAGATTTAGCTCACATCACGGATAGTAACTCGTGAGAAGACTTATATAACGACGGTCAAGCAAGCCCCACTAGTTTTTGCTACAGAACTAGCGAGCTATACAAATGAATTACTTCCGAGGTTTTTGCTGACGGCTACCTTACCTGTGCCTGCGGGAACATGTAAGCCCGTGGCGGTGGTTTCCAGTCTTTTCATGATATAAATTCTTCCCGTTATCGCTAGCTGTACTTGTAAGGATTGCAATATATGTAGACTCAACGAGCAATAGCTTTCTTAGTACATTTCTTTGTTTATTAATTTTTCTATAAAAAATAGATATAAGATTATGAAACATCTCAGTTGCTGGCATCTTTTATGGTAACTCAAGAGAAGACTTTACAGGTCAACACCGATAACAATAGCTAGACATTTCTAGCTTTTGTGAGAGTTTATAGAATTTATCCTTTCTAGCACATGTCTTAAGCGAATCGACACGACGTATCTTGTGATAGTTGTGTGAAGGAATCTTCTAACAGTAACTCTAAACTCATGACTTTCCTCTCATTTTTAGGCACTGAGATCCGAGAACAAGGACATCATTGTTTCCATTAATACATACAAAACAAAGGAAAAAGTCTAGATCACCCCCAAGGTTTGGCACCCTGGTTAATCCACCCCTGAGGTTTAAAACCGTCTAATCTACACCCTAAACTTTCCTAAACCGTTTAACTAACCCCCTGGTTGGTTTTAGGGTGGTTTTGAGGGGCTGTTTTGCTCAGGTGGCAATCCACCGTGGCAGAGAACGACATGGCGGCGCTAGGCCATTCGTTTTGGTGGCAAGGGATGGGTATTTCCCTCCAGGAGTTTCATTGTCTGCTCATTTTGGCACCAAATAGACATAAGACACAATAGCATTTTGGAGGCAATTTTTGACAATATATCTAGAGACAATTTTTGATAGCATATACAGAGGCATTTGTACATGATTTCAGCTAGATTACTAAAGATCTGCATGCCTGAGCAGCTATACACAAAAGAAGGCATGTCCGACTTAGCATATCCAGAGGCATTTGTACATGATTCCAGCTAGATTAAGACTTACTTGCCTAAGCAGCTATACACAAAAGAAGGCATGTTTGAGCAGCTGTACACAAAAGCTTGCATTTATAACCACTGCGGTCATTCCTATGCACAAAAGCTTGACATTTGTATGCACAAAAGCTTGGCCTACATATTCACAACCTAACATGAGTCAAGGCTTTCAGTAATTGTCCCCAAACAGCAGGTGTTGCAGGCGCCCTCTTGTTTGGCTTGTACCTACATGGGTTCCTCCCCTTGATGCAGCCTGGGTTCTGCCCCTTCCCCTTATTGGAGCCTGGCTTCCTCCCCTTGTTCCCCTTGTTCGAGCCTGGCTTGATGTTGCTTGACTTGGTCTAGCTTGGCTAGTTGATGTATTTTCTACAGGTTGTTGTACCACTCAGGTAACATAAAGGTTGACAAATGAGAATATGGCCAGGAATGTAATTGCAAGTAATTAAATGAGCTGTAGGGTGTTGTAACACTCAGGTAACATAAAGGTTGACAAATGAGAATGTGGCCAGGAATATAATTGCAAGTAATTAAATGAGCACTTACCATCTGAGGAGTAGTCTTCAGCCTCTTAGTAGTAGCAGCAGCAGTAGTGCTTTGCTTTCTTTTCTTCTGCCTCTTGATGTGTGCATTTTGTTTGTTGCCAGCTTCAGGGTTCTTTGGACAGCTCCTAGAATTGTGGCCAGACTTGTCGCAAAGTCTACACCTCACCTTGATGCCAACCCTACTTAGCTTGCTTCCTTTAGGTTCTTCACCTGCCTCTCTTTTTCTCTGTGTCTTTGGCCTCCCTGGAATCTTCACAAAAGCTGGTGGTTCTGGTTTTGGCATGTCTGATATAGGCCAATTGCCAGGGCCTTCAACTGGTTGCAGCACATGAGCATAAGTTCTGTTGAACATTAATATTGAGAAACATGGTGCTATGAACTCATCCAACTTCCTAGAGGACTTGTACATGCAGCTGATTGCATGGCAACAAGGTAATCCAGATAGCTACCAGTACCTACAAGTGCATGATCTTTGATTCAGGTTGACAATGTATCTCCTGTCCTCCCTTTCCTGTACTTCAAATCCATCTTGTCCATTCCATAATACATCACATTTTCCTGATCTTTCAATGTTGACCTTCAGTTTCTTGAAAATGTTAGGACAGACTGTTTCAGTCCATCTCTCTGCCTTGGTCCTATTCTCCTGAATTCATACCATTACCTTCTTCCTAATTGCCTCATTCATGGATATCACAGGATAAAATCTTGCATCCATAATGGAATTGTTGAAGCTCTCACACATGTTGTTGTCTACTGAATCACAGTTGGAACCAAGCCTAAAGAAAGCTCTACTCCAATGCTCAGGTGAAGTATTTCATCATATCCTTTGCTCCCACTGGAGTGTCTTGTGCAAGAAGAGCCCTATTGAAGTTGAAGAGTACTCTACAAGGGGACTTGGCACACCTCCACCACTTCTTCTGCAACTTCTTGTCAGTATATTTTTTCCTCCAGTTTGCATATATATGCCTTGCACACATTCTGTGCTCAGCATTAGGAATGAGCTCTTGCACTGCCTTTAATTGTCCCTGCAGATGTGCAAAATTATTAGTACATATGCCAAATTATTAGTAGGTGTACCAAATTATTAGTAGCTGTACCAAATTATTAGTAGCTGCACCTTTTGCTCGTCAGATATGATAACCCAAGCTTCACCTCCATTACTGAT